GGTCAGTCATGGGGCGCCAGCGAGACCAATGGAGCATACAAATGGCGAGAATTCATGGTACAAATGGGGCGTAAGGATGGTACAAGTGGTACATGTGGGGGTGTATGAATACTGAGTGGTGTAAATGGTACATGTAAGTGGTAAGAGTAAGTGTCATACATATGGCTTATCAATGGTACATGTGGTATGAAAGAGGTGATATGCCTGGTACAAATAAAATTGCTATACTATGAACAAAGAAACTTCGTAAATCTGGAAACTGATGGTATTAAATCAATGGTACAACAACATCAGGTTAGCGAGGGAGCTGCAAGGGGGGGGGGGGGGGTGATGGAACAAATGAACGGTTCAGCAAAAGGTTTTAATGCAGCGAATAAAAAGGCGTGGGAGCGTGAGACATTTTAGCATGTGATTACTACATACATTTATGAACATGTGCATAAGCATAAGGTATTCCATATATATACCTTGTCTATTTATAGTAACTCACTCACTCACACTCTCATTCACTCACTCTCTCTGAAAACCATTGGAAAGAAAACGTACATCGGATATTAAAGTCAAAGAATATAAAAAAAAAAATCAACAGTTTTTTTTGCCCCCCCCCCCACTCTCCGATAAAACAAAACGTTATTATTATGACCTGCATTTTATTTTTTTCTTGAGACGCGGTGATTTTTTTTTAACTTGGTGCAATTTGTTTGTCTTTCTCATAAGCCGAGGCAACAGCTACGAAAACTGTGCGTGAATGTATCTCACAAATTCACAACTTAATGTCAAAGATAATGGTAAACGAAGTCCAGTGGAAAGCGAATCATGCACTGAGTTCATGATTTTATCACTGTTATTAATATTTTTTGATGTCTACGATTTATTGCCAGCTTACAACTTCCACGCTACATATTTTCGTATTCCCTCGCGATGAGTTATCGACCTACATAGTATTATTATTCTGAAAAGGAACTCCCGAAAAATAAAGTTTTTTTTAAAACAGACAGCTTCAAATGCATGAAATTCGCAGTGTTCGGATACAGCTCCGCAGCGGTTGCCACAACTAACGGAACATTGCACCATTTTTCAAGGATATGCTTCAATTTCCCGATATCCCGGCGATTTTAACCACTAAAAGAACAAAATTCTCTTACGTGACCGCTTATGAAGATGAAAAAGAGGCAGCGACAAAGAGATCCCGAGTTTACCAATGCGTTGTTATTAAATGTTCATGACTATATGGAAACTCGCCTGTGCCAGGGAGGGGTTCCCTTATTGTCAAGGGAGAACAGGCAAAAATGGTGCTTATGCAGATGCGCGGTAGAGGCGCCTCTCTCGTTGCCATAAAACACAAAGACGACCTTAATGGGCCCCAAGTTGATTACTAAGAGATGACCGCAGGGCAGGTGCGACCAGGCGGTTCCCGAAGCTCGTTTTCTTGGCTTAAATTCGGAGCCATTAACCGAAAGGCTGAGCGAAACAACCACTTTCCGAAACAGCTTCCGCCGAACGCTCCGGCACACGCTCACCGCCGCCCCAGAGTCGAACGCAAAGCAGGCCCACTGCCCCCCAAACGGTCTAAAAAAAATCCCCGTTCTTGCTCTCATTAGGTGAATCATAAGCGGGCGTTGATGGAAGCCCGTAAGTACGTGGCAACCGGGAGCAGACAACAGCAGCAGCGGTTCCCCGAGGATCACAAGGCAAAAAGAAAAAGAAAAAATCGTGGCAAAGCTGCCCGATTTTTCTTGCGACTCCAAAGTGAACCCGAATGACACACAGCAGGCGGTGGCCAGCCGATAGGACGTGACGTTATGGGTGCTTGGACGCTGCTGTTTTCTATCATAATATACCCAAGGATTTGGTTTTACCATAAACAGGTAGACACACACACACACACACACACACACACACACACACACACACACACACACACACACACACACACACACACACACACACACACACAACACACACACACACACACACGCAAGAGAGAGAGAGAGAGAGAGAGAGAGAGAGAGAGAGAGAGAGAGAGAGAGAGAGAGAGAGAGAGAGAGAGAGAGAGAGAGAGAGAGAGAGAGAGAGAGAGAGAGAGAGAGAGAACTTGACAACAAGATTGAGCACGCGTGAACAAATAAAAAAAAAACAACCCAAGAAAGAACGACGAACAAACAAACAAAACAATACGCAACACAAAATACACAATTACATAAAACACAAGAAAGGCAAAAACAATCCACAAGATAACATCTCGGAACTTTTATTACTTTTGTTTTGAGCGGAAGGATAAAGCACTGCGGCCGAGTCGAGGAGGACAGGAGACGAGAAATATATATCCCCTCCAGCGATGGCGCAACATGTCAAAATGCCTATGACATTTCTCCCGTACAATTTTTTTTTCTTTTTTTTTTTTTTTTTAACTGGACGGACGATCGTAACTTCTATGGGAAAAGATTTTTCTTTTCTTTTCTTTTTTCCTCTTGAACTGGTATTCCTAAGACCCAGAAACACCCGCGAAAATACAAACAGCCCTAAGCAGATTACCCGCCAAACCGAGGTCAAGGCGACGAGCGAGAGATTGGACAAGGCGGTTCGAGAAGCACTTACGCTAAGATGACACAAGCTAAAGGGGACGGCAGGGGGAGGGGGAGGGTGAGGGGGAGGAGGAGGGGGAGGGAGAGGGTGAGGGGAGAGGAGATGGAGGATGGTAGGAGAGAGAGAGGGAGAGGGGAGAGAGAGAGAGAGAGAGAGAGAGAGAGAGAGAGAGAGAGAGAGAGAGAGAGAGAGAGAGAGAGAGAGAGTAGCGGAAGGATAAGGGAGATGGAAGGAGGAGAGGGAGAGGGAGAGGGAGAGGAGGGAGGGAGGAGGAGGATGCGATGTTCCAAATCCACCACAACCCCCCTCCCCCCATCCACCTCTCCCCCCCACCCCCCTAACACACCTAATCTCTACTACACCTGCGCCTTCCCTCCACAACACTCGCTCTCTGCTTGTACAAAAGAAGGCGAGGAGGAGAATGAATGAAGGGAGGTGGGGAAAGGGGGAAGGGGGGAAGGGAGACGTTTAGAAGCGGGAGGGAGAAGGAGAAGGGAGAGAGAGAGAGACGGAGATGGAAAAGAAGGGAGAAATAAGAGGGAGGGAGAGAGTAGGAGAGGGAGGGAGGGAGGGAGGGAGGGAGGGAGGGAGGGAGAGAGAGAGAGAGAGAGAGAGAGAGAGAGAGAGAGAGAGAGAGAGAGAGAAGGAAAGGTGGCAGAGGGGGATGGGGGGAGGGGGCAGAGGGCAAGGCGCGGGCAGTGGTGGCAAGAGGGCGAGCGTTACACCGTTACCTTACCAGTGGTACAACCTGCCCTCTCCCGACTTCCTCTCTCTCTCTCTCTCTCTCTCTCTCTCTCTCTCTCTTCTCTCCTTCTCCTTCTTTCACTATTTACTTTTTCATACCCCCGCTCTCCCTCTCTCGTGTTATCTGCTTTCTAAACGCATCTAACAGTTTCTAGCATTCACACCGAGCATCGCACAAACCAATCCTTTCTTCAACTTCCCCAAACACACAAAATGTATCCTTTCTCCCTCTGCCCCTCGTCCTCCTCCCCCTCCTCCTCCTCTTCTCCCCTTCTCTTTTCCCCTTTCCTCCCTCCGTCCCTCTCTACCCCTTTCATCTCTCCTCTCTCCCTTCGCCCTTTCATCCTCCCTCCCTCTTCACCATCCCACTCCCTTCTACCTCCTTCTTCCTACCCCCTCTCCCTACCTTGAGCCGTCCCCTCCCTCCCCCTACCCCTTCCCCCTCTCCCCCCCTAGCGGCGCCACGAAGGGAGGTGAGTTACGACGCCCCTGCTATTCACCGGACATCTCAGAAGATCACACCGGCGCCCATCACGCCCTCCCACGCACGCCCTTCTCCGTCCTCGATCGGGAAAGGGAGGGGGAGGGATAGGGGGGAAAGGGAGAAGGGGGGAAGAGGGAAGGGGGCGAGGGGAGGGGTATGGGATGCGAGGAGAGGGGAACCGGTGACAGGAGGAGGAAGAGGAGGAGAAGGGATAAAGGGAGAGGGGGAGGGAGGATGGGTGTACCAAGGAAAGACCCTTGTTCTGGGATTCGAGTTGACTGCGTGCATGCTTGAACCGCAGGATTCTCAGCTGGAATACTTTCTTCTCCGGTGTCAGCTGCATCGCAATGGCAGACCGTGCTGCTTGATACAGACTCTGGCCTTTATGCAGTCTCACAGCCGGATCACTTGCCGGAATAACACTCGGGCGTTGCGGAAATTAAACGTGTTCATCTGTTTTTAAAGGTGTCATGTTATCATTCATTGCACTACTGTCACTCCTCGTTAGTCAGGCCACCGCTGGGAGGAGAGCGGAGGGAGGGGGGAAGGGAGTGGGGGGGGGGGTGATCTTCGCCGCGGGAGGCTCGGGGAATTATCAAGTATAAGCACAACTCTCTCGTTTCCTCTCCTCCTTCTCCTACTCATTCTTCTCTTCTCTTCTCTCTCTCTCTCTTCTCTCTTCTCTCTCTCCTCTCGAGATCCCACCTTGCTCCGTTCTACCCTTCGCCTCCTGTCCTTCGCCTCGCACCCCCTCGCCTACCTTTGCCTCGAGGCTCCTAACACACCCTCGGGCGTATCGTTACAACAACAGGCAGACTGAGGGGTGAGGGAGGGGGAGGGGGGGGGGACGGGGCAGAGGAAGGGTGCGGCAAACGGGGGGGAAGGGGGAAGGGGGAAGGGGGGAGGGGGAAGGGTTGATAACAAGAGTGGTGTTGGCGAGGTGAGTGCGATGAGCACGGGCACTGTCTTGGGACAACATCTGAGGTGTATCCTGGAGATAGAGGTGCGGGGAAGGAAGGAGGGAACGAGAGAGAGAGAGAGAGAGAGAGAGAGAGAGAGAGAGAGAGAGAGAGAGAGAGAGAGAGAGAGAGAGAGAGAGAGAGAGAGAGAGAGAGAGAGAGAGAGAAAGAGAGAGAGGACGTAACAGGACAGGGAAGACGGCATATCACTCACCCAAACACACAAA